TTTTGCTGGTTTATGCTGGTCCTTTTGCTGGTTTATGCTGGTCCTTTTGCTGGTTTATGCTGGTACTTTGCCAGCACATGACCAGCATAAACCAGCATAAAACAGCAAAGGACCAGCATGAACCAGCAAAGGACCAGCTTAAACCAGCATCCCAGCGTCAAAACATACCTAGCCAGCATATGCTGGTTTTTCAACAGGATTAATAAAGACATCGACAACCAAACACACAAACACAAGAACATGACTGAAGAATGAGAGATTATCACAGATTTAGTAGCTATAGTATTTTATTATTTTCATCAACCTTATCAATATATCCAAAAGTTTGGGGATTGTTTGCTTGTTTTTGAAAGGAATCGACACTTTTATTCATCAAGGAGGCATTATAATGTTACAAAAGATTTCTATTTTAAATACATGCTGTTCTTTTGAACTTTTGATTCATCAAAAATCCTGAAAAATTAAAACGTATCAGTTTCCACAGCACAACTGTTTTCGACATTGATAAAAATCAGAAATGTTTATTAAGCAGCAAATCAACATATTAGAATGAATTATGAAGGATCACGTGACACTGAAGACTGGAGTAATGATGCAAATCTTAGTAAATGCATTTTAAAGCAATTGACCTTGATGTATTACGGTGTCATTTTGGCGTAAGATCTTCCGGTATTCTCATTGTGCGCAGATGAACTGCAGACTGTGGCGGGTTTAAATCATGTGTATCTGCAGCTGGTTTCATCATAGTCTCCCGTGGATTTAAGCGTGTTTGATAATGGAGCGTATTATTCCATTATCCGTGGTTGAAGACGAGGCTTAAACTAAAGCAGCCGAGAGACTGAGAGATTAACACAATGGTTCCCAACCCTGGTCCTGGAGGCACCCCAACACTGCATGTTTTGCATGTCTCCTTAATCAAACATACCTGATTCAGATCATCAGCTCATTAAGAGAGACTCCAAGAGCTGAAACTGGTGTGTGAGAGAAAGGAGACATGCAAAATGTGCAGTGTTGGGGTGCCTCCAGGACCAGGGTTGGGAACCACTGGATTAACAGACTCGATCCCAGAGCGCAGACACTCCAGCGGCATGATGGGATTGATCTCTAGACACCAAACTCTGATCATCTGCAGACAAGATTTGTCTTCATTTGTCTGCATTCACTGCTATATTTACACGCGCCTCTCCTGCACCTATCTCATTCTAAACACATAATCTATAAGATAATAAACAGACAGACGCCAGATGCTTATGTGGAAAAACAAAACCTCCTCTAATGCCTGAGGAACTACAGGAAGATGCTGGTCAAAATGAAATATCATGATGTATCGCAGGGTCAAAGGACAATGCGCTCGACACATGGTGCATCTATAACCTCATCACAGCGACAAACGCAAACAAACAAAGGTTTGGATCAGTGGCTTATTTCATGAAACCGGTTTCAGTGGTTACTCGGGTAAGTTTAAGTGTAGTTTCTTCAAACTCCGTTTTTTGTTGTTGTTCAGAATCTCTTCTAGAAGAATCTGGAAGCACTCGAGGCATGTGAAGAGACACTACTGTAATGATAGGAGCCTGAGTGACTGACACACACACACACACACACACACACACACACACAATTTATCATTTCATTAGGAAATAAATCACGTCAGGAATGAACGACAAATATTAAGGCCTAAAATTAAGATTTATGTATTTTAATTGCATTTAAAATGTCCATGCATTTGGATTGCAGTTTTAACAAACTAATAAACTTAATGCAATGAATATTAGTCAGTCACGCATAAAAGAACAGATCAGATTTCTGTAATAGTACTAATAAACTGAATGTGTTTAAAGTGCACATTAACCAGGTTAATATATTTTTCATGTAAAGTCAAGTCACCTTTATATAGCGCTTTATGCAATACAGATTGCGTCAAAGCATTTTTACAGTGTTAAACAGAAAAAACGTGTGCTGATAATGCAAAAGGACAATAGAACACAGTCCATTTATCAGTTAAAGTCAGTTCATCGTTGATTCAGTGATGTCAATGTCTAGCTCAGTTCAGTTCTCTTCCAATAGTATCTGTGCAATCAAGTCAACAAAATTGCAAGAAATTGTGTCCCAAACAAAGCAAGCCGAAGGCGACAGTGGCAAGGACCCAAAACTCCATTGGTGACAGACATGGAGGGAAAAAAAAAAAAAACCTTGAGAAACCAGGCTCAGTCGGGGAGCCAGTTCTCATGGTGTGGTTTAATTCCAGACTGTCACCTTTATATAGCGCTTTATGCAATACAGATTGCGTCAAAGCATTTTTACAGTGTTAAACAGAAAAACCGTGTGCTGATAATGCAAAAGGACAATAGAACACAGTCCATTTATCAGTTAAAGTCAGTTCATCGTTGATTCAGTGATGTCAATGTCCAGCTCAGTTCAGTTCTCTTCCAATAGTATCTGTGCAATCAAGTCAACAAAATTGCAAGAAATTGTGTCCCAAACAAAGCAAGCCGAAGGCGACAGTGGCAAGGACCCAAAACTCCATTGGTGACAGACATGGAGGGACAAAACAAAAAAACCTTGAGAAACCAGGCCGATGGCCGACAAGGTCTTCACAGGGGATCTGTCTCTAGGGTTCATCTAGTTGTCCTGGTCTCCGCTGACATTCAGGGCTGTAGAGGTCATCTCTAGGTGCTGATCCACCATCTGGTCTGGATACATACTGGATCTGTATGGCGACCTTAGAATAAGAATGAAAGAGACTAATATAAGTGTAGATGCTATTCTTCTAACGATGTAGCAGG